ACCAGCTATAATCGAACCGTTGACCTCGTCTGTGGAGGATTAGGCGCCTAGACCACTAGGCTATGGGACCCTAACCCAGGGATATATATTCAAAAAGAGAAATTAGTAATTGTCGCGAACGATGCAGAAGAAATTGGACTATTTTAAATGAATTTTAGCATCTTTGGGGTGCATTTGTTTTTTAGAGCTAAGATTAGAGTTGTTAATTTTAATTCAAGGGTTTATACTATCGTACCCACTTATTATTACCACCATGATTAGGTACGTACTTACATACGGAGCTTAAATTCATTCATTTTATACGAAATTTTCTTTTATATTTTAAATAGAGATTACTCGTTTTCCTTATCGAAAGATGAAACCTTACCAATTTATTACATGCTATCATACTACGTAAAAGAAAACCATGATTTGAGTGCTCATCATATATTTCTGAAAAAGCTATTATATTATGCTTTAAAATTTTCCAACTAAATTCGTAAACTTTTTTTATTGTAAATGCTGAAATGTCAAAGAAACTAATATAAGACCTAAAAATAACGAGTTAAAAAATAATCGATTTAGTAAATTCCTCAAAACCATGCCGTATTTTCGCGTAATAACGCTCATGAGGGCTATTTCGAAAATCGTGCACCCTAAACATAATATATATAATTTCAAAATAACGCTCATGCGCGTCCCAAAATAGCGTACACCCCATAGTAAGGGATGTAGTAGGATTTAAAATATTTCGAAACTGGATTTATTACTAAGTAAACCTTCGAACTTCAACAAAAACTGTGTTCAGAACAACTTTTGTTAAATCTCGAAGGAGGGTAGGGTCTACTTAGTACTAAATCTAGTTTCGAAGCAATTGTCTCAAAATAACGCTCATGCGCGTACTCGAAATACAGTAACGCGCATGTACTCAAAAAGACGAGGAAAATTTTGTATTTATCTAAAAAAAGAATAAAAATAATAAAAGTTATTAAAGATTTTGAACTAGATATTGAAATTCAAGCTGTGCCTTATATTTAAAAACGAACTTGAATGTAAATATGTTCCAAGTACTGTACTTAAATTTGAATATAAGCACGTTAAATATTTATTATAATTTAGTCGTAATCAAATTCAAGATTTACAATTATTAAATAATTCTTTGAATAATTATAATTCGAGTAAGTAAAAAGAAATCAAAACAACACTCAAGCTTTTTGATAAAATTTCAAGCAGCAATTAAATACTGATTTTGGTAGCGATACTAGATGGGTTATATAATCGTGATAAATTAAAAAACAAAATTTTCTAACTAGCAAATGTTTAGCATTCACTTTAATTCCAGCATTTTATTTCACTACCATTTATAATGTTGCAGATTAGTGAATCTACAACCTATAGTTTAACGACGAGCCAAATACCTAGTTTATATAAACTTCAATTTTGTTTACTAATTTTAAAATATTATCGTTATTATATGTGTTGTAATTTATTCAAGATTTCAACTAAATTTCAGAAACAAATATTAATCCTTCAGAAAAGAAAAAAGGAGTTCATAAAATGAAAATAAAAGGATTAAATAAACTACATGAACAACCTACAACATACAAATAAGTGCTAATACTCGTGCAATTTTTTTTACCAAATCAAAACCAAAACTTCAATAGGAAAAAAAAAAAGAAGGGTTCGAAATCAATATTGTTTTCATCGTATATCCGACAATGTTCTTCGATTGATCAAATCAAAGAACAATACATTTTTCTTGCTACTTTCAATTTCACATATTTAACTATAAATCTTTTTTCCCCAACTACAATATCGATTCCTACAACGGTATTAATAATAAAAGTTTTATTCTTCCAGAGAATGATGATGACAAATGTTAAAATTGAGGTCTTTTAGTTGCAAGTTCTCTTAAATAAACTAATAATTGTTTCTTATGTATAACACCAACATAATTTCCACCATCTACAACACAAACATATCTTAATCCTAATTTTTTAAACAATTCAAGTACAACTTCTAATGAAGAATTTTTTGATACAGTTAACGGTGCCTACAAAAATAATACAAAAAAATACTTCAATAATACTATAAAAAAACAAATAAAATTTAAAAAATGAATTGATCTTTTAATGACATCACCTGATCTGTGTAAGCTGTAAAATCTGTAATTATACGACCATTTGGTATTGGTATTTCATGTTCATTTTTTCTGAATTGACACTCTGTTGAATCTGATAATTCCTCTACATGTTTTATTGCATGCTCAAGCTCATTTGCTGCGATATAACCAACTAGTGTTGCACCATCGACTATTGGAAGACCAGCGTCCGCATGTCCTGTGAGGGCTATAAATAGAAAACAAGAGATTAGTGATAAATTAGAATTACTAATTATAATATATATATATATGCTATTTACATAATTTTTTTAATTTAATCTTTAAATCACTAATAGTATTTCGATCATTAACATCAATAACTTCAATAACTTCGGTATCTTTTTGACAAAGTTCTAAAGTAGTTGCTGTGGTAATATACTCCGCTTTAGAATCCAAAAATGGATGATCGTTAAGAGCAATTAAAAGGTCATAAATTCCATGTTTAACAATTCCATCAGCAACCCATTTTGCAATCATAATTGCAGTCATTATTGGCTAATTAAAAAAATAATTATTATATATTAGATGATTTTTTGATGTTTTTGTTTTAAATCATAATTTTTTGTAAATATAAATTTTTTTTTTATTCTTACCAGAACATAAGTCAATGCACCAGTGAGTTCAAACATGATAACAGTCAAAGATACAGTCATCCTTGTTACACCTGCTAAACATGCGGCAGCTCCCACCATAGCATACACTCCTGGATTGACACAATCATTCACTTTTCCAGGATCACATACTGACGAAAATATTGGGAAATCAGGATATGATCTAATAAATAAATAAGTAATAAATAAATAAATAAATAAATTATATATATATTTATATATATATATATGACCAATAAATTATTTAAAATCATTAAGTGAAATAAAATAGAACGTAATGAATATAACATACAAAGTTAACCATTGAACGACAAGTCCAAGCATCCTTCCTGCGCATGCGCCAATAAGTAAAGATGGAATAAAAATGCCAGCCGGAACTCTTACTCCAAATGTAATAACACAGGTCAAAAATTTAGAAATCAAGGCAACACATAAGAGTAAAATAATGCCAAATATTTGATCTGCATTAGTTCTAAATAAACCAAACAAAATTAAATGAATAAATAAATTAATAAAAAAATTCAACATTAATTTCAACATAATTTCAATATAGTTATCAATATAATTACGCGCAAAGTCCAGCGTCGACTGATGTATTGTTACTACATTCACTGAATAGAAAATGAACTAGATCTGTGTTGGACATCCTATTAATTCCCAAAGTATTAATGAATTTCTGAATTAAATTAAAAGATTTTTTTCATAATAATTTCAATTTAAAAAATTAACAAACTTTGTGTAGAAATTCAAATAGTTGACTGTAGCAGTAATAAGAACCACTATTATAACTTCAACAATTGGATATTCTTTGAGCCATGTCCTATTACGAACATGTTTAGTGTACATAGTAATAAGTTCACAAAGAACAGCACCCAAAAATCCCTAGAAAATATATATAGAAGAAATTAGCTTTTTGTTATAATTTGAAATTCTCATGATTCGTAAACACTTTAAAAGTGATGGAACATACCCCTAAAATGCCAAGAATCACGAATGATATGATTTCAAACATATGCCATTCGTTATCATACGTTACTTGAAACATAACTATTTTACCAGTACCAAATGGATTGATTACCTAGATAGAAAATAATAGACAAAAATAAATAATAAATGAATAATATATATATATATATATATATATATATATATATATGCAGCTATTTAAAACCAAATAAATACCTTCAAAGTAACCGCAGCCACAATAGCACAGAAAAAACTTCTGACCAAAGTTTTACTTGGAAAGTAATAGCTTACTTCTTCTAAAGAAAATAATACGCCACCTATTGGTGCAGCAAAAGCCACACTCACCCCTGCTGCAGCAGAAGCAGATAATATTTCTCTCCTTTTACCTTCATTTTTGTTGTATTTACTAAATAAACGACTAAGGATGTTACCAGTACAGCATGCAATATGCACAAAAGGACCCTCTTTGCCAAGTGTCATTCCTGCAGCAACAACCATTGCCTTAATTTGATTTGAAAATTTGATCGATTGATTTAATTTTATTATTTGTTTAATTGATTAATTTAGTAATTTAAAAAAAATACGCGAAAAAGTGTGAGAGAGCATACCAGAGTTATGGCTTTGACCCAAAGAGTCCTAAAACCAAGAAAACCACGAATTACGAAACCACTTAAAATCGTTTTAACTTCAGGAATACCACTTCCAGCTGCATATGATTTTAATTCTTTTTTAATGTAAGAATTATGGTTTATAATCTTTGAAGAACTTTTTGAGGAGGGAGATGCAATTAAGGAATTATATGTGACAAGTAATGAAGCACAAATTGCAAAACATAACTAAAAAATTCGAATAATAAATATTTTTTAAAATTTTTTTACAAAAATAATGAAGAGGATAAAGAGGATGAAGGACTACCTACAGCAACAAAAACATAAGCATAATAATCAAACCAACTTTCTTCATTGCTAGTTTGAATATGAAAAGCTTTAGACCATGAAACCCAGTCCGTACAATTGCTGTTGTTTCCTGTGCGTCAGGTAATCAAAATATAAGAGATATTACATATAAATAAATAATAAACAATACCAAGTGCTGTAAACGCAAAATATTTTTTTCTTACCTTTTGACCCATTACAGCAAAAGGCTTTATTTTTAAAAATATCAGTAGTACAATAACCACCCTTAAGATCAGAACCCCATTCTACAGCAACATCGACAGCACCAGCAATACAAGCAGTTACGACACCTAAAAAAACATTTTAATTAATATTTAATTTAAAATTAAAGATATAAAAATAAAAATAAAAATATTTACCGATAAGAAATACTAGAATCCAACCTTCAGAACTATCACATAATCTTAAAAGATGACCACGAAAACCTTTAACTGAATAAATTTTACGAACACGAATGCGTTCTTTGACATAATCATGAATCCAATCTATTTAAAACAAGAGATTATAAGGGTTTATAAAAATTGATAAAAAAAAAAAAAAATTCAATATAAATAGAATAAAAAGTTTTTTTTTTACAGACCAATAGTTGTATAATCATCATACCAAACACGAATACCACCTCCCTCACGAACCATTGCCAAACCATCTTCATCATAAGCACCACTACGTGATTTATACCGTCGTGGGTCGGTAAGGTCGGTAAATGCTCTGAAACTCGGGGCCCATGTATGTCTTTTATTGAAATTAGGTCGTGCGCGATGAGCACCGCTATATTAAGTTATGTACAAATATATAACGAATAATAAAATAAAAATTTTTGCCAATTAAAAAAATTTTTTATTTTTTTTAATATATTATAAATTCGATTACATTATTATTATTAATTATTGCTCAGTGTTGGGCTTGGACATGTGTCCATTAAGTGAGTTAATTTAGACTTATAAAAATTTTATATGTCCAATTGTCCAATAAATGCAATTTTATTGAGTGGCACCAAGAGAACCTCGATCATATAAATTTTATATGACTGAGGATCCATTTTCCCTTGGCGTCACTCATTTGTCCAATCACGAACAGCTGTCTAAATAACGTAAATTTTCATATTTGGGTGATTATATAATAAATATAATCTAACCTGATGCTATGATTGTCCTCTGACAAAGAGGACTGAGTAGGAAAATGACTGTAGTTTTGAGATGATTCACCACTTAACAAGGCAGTAGTTTCGTCTGAAGGAGATTCAAAAACACTATCAAGATCTTTACCATTTTCAAAGACAGGTAGCGTTAGAAAACGATTGAGAGTTCTACGTTTTGGTTTTGGTTTGGATTTTTTATCAGTTTCATCATTAATCGTTACATTAAATTTTGGAATGTCATCATCATTAAAGTATTCTTCTCGTTGGTTTTCACTCGCCATCTGACATATATGAAAAGGTAAAGTTTGAAAAAAAGGAGGTAATCGATTTCAAGTTTTTTTTTTAATTCTAATTTTTATATTTTATTTATAAAAGGCAGATCGATCGTTAATTAAATGAGATGTATCACGAGGGACACCCTTTTTTTTCTATCTATACCCGGTAAGATTTTCACTCTTAATCAAAAAAGTGCATATCGTGACACAAATTAATGGATGATCTGTTAGTTTTTTTCATGTATATCCTTCATTCAAGTTATTAATAAATAATCAAATTTGACAAACAAGCGATGCTTTTTTATAAAGAGAATCATTTTAATGAATATGTTAAATGTTCAAGAACTTGATTTATATATTATATTAATCCAATTATTAACTGTTGATTTAGGGTAGTGCTCTACGAAATGCAGCAACAATGCAGAGAAGATCAAAAAAAAAGGTCTATTCATTTAGAATTGTTCGATGCTAACTTTAAATATCCATTGTACATTTATGTACATTATTTTTAACTAAATTAACTAAATTTAATTATATTATTACTTTATTTATATAAATCATATGAATAGGGTAGCTGGATCCAGATACTAGATCCGTACAAGTTATGTAATAATTCCCAAATCCTACCTAATATAGTATAAATTATGTAATCGGGCACTTGAAAAAAAATTTATATTTGCTTTCTTTTTTCTTTTTTTTTTGAGAAAAAAAATATCAAATGATTAATCATCTGCCTTTGATGACCTTTTTATTTGAGGGTATTTGGCCATTTCTAAGTCACTCGTCAACAATTTTCATTGTTACATAACCAAAAAAAAATAATAATATAAAAAGTCATTCCAACTTTTCATGACTAACAGAAGATCAAAAGATTATTTCTTGCACACGTACTATATACGCATATCATAATACATGTTCTTTAGAAAGTCTCTGATTATTTAGGCATAAGTAAAGTTTATTGTGCATAAGTGAATTCATGATATACATTACCCTTATATCATGTTTCATGATTAAATTTATTGCTGCATTTTTTTTAAATGAAGCAAAACGCACTAACTATTAAAAAAACGAAATGCATTCAAATTACCATTTTAATATGTAATACGGACACTGTTTTAATAGTACCATTTTTTGATAGTTCGCGCCCGGCACTTGCAGAGCCCTAATGACAACCTTTAACTTTGATGACTGTATTTATTTTATGATTCGTACTGACTAAAATATTTCAGAAATATTTTGACATTCTAATACATAAAATAATACTCGACAGTAAAAATATGCCAAGGATTTTCAATAGGATCATGAGTTTTTTTTTGCAAGTCATATATGTCATATGATAATTCTGCAATTATAATTAAACATGATTTAACGTGATCTAAATTTAGTTAATCTCATTAGAAATTCATGGACTTATTCTAAAATAATCGAATAAATATTAAGTACATCAAATACTGTACATGTGTGCTAAAAAATGTTGTATATACCGTATATATGGTTAATAACTACAATAATACAGTAATATGGCAAATGTTTAAAACACGATCTTAAAAATCATTTGTTTGATTTAAATCTGGTAAAAAATGGTTCAATGCATTATGACGTAATTATGATTAAAAAATGAATAAGAAAATTCTTTAAAACAATGTCTCATGTTCGTGGAAGATCCTCGTCAAAAGAAGTCCGTTTAAACCTTACAAAAGTTGTTGAACCTGATAAATATGATCGAACAACACCTTGCCAAAAATGGACCGTACAGTGTGGACTAAAAGACCCCTTTTTTTATAATACTGTACCCTCACAACTTTTAGAGGCCTAAAACATATATTAAATCGATAGTTATAATTGAAAATCCAATGACAGGTTTTCCCTTGGCGACACTTATATAGTGCAACCTACAGTACACCCTGTCAAAATCGATCCTGTTAAATCCGATACATATCTGATAAAAAAATCGATCCACGGTGTCTGTTCCATAATTCAAATCCGATAACCTGCCATTTCTGAAAGCCGATGCTCAAAAGACAGGATATTGGGTTTGTCTAACCAATCAAAAAATGATAATAAGCAATCATCTATATTTAAAATTTTTTTTATTAACCTTCTTTTTTTAGTTTAATATAAACATTATTTAAATTTTTTTTTCTTCTTTAGTTTATTAATAAAAGTTTGCAAAATTGTGATGTTTCTTTGATCAAATTCAAATATAATAAAAATCATTGTGTATAATCACGTAATAGGACAACACTCAGGTGATTGTGATTGTATAGGTAGTTGTGATATACAAATTTGATCAAAAATACATCATAATGCAAACTACAAGTTTTTTTTTTTTTTTTGAGAACAAGATTATTTTATTCGGATCATTCTAATTTCTAATTCAATATAAATCGCTGGTTTCTTGTGGTAATATAACATGTATTTTGTGATGACTTAAGGTAAATTTTATAAATTATCTTTTTATTTTTTTCATATCCCAAGCTTTTCGGTGCGCCATTCCCACAAATTTCTGCATACCTATACAATCAATTGATTATCTTATTGTGTGATTGTAAAGTACGTTTTGGCTAATTTGTTGGCCATATCTATGCTCACTAAAAAATTATAGTATAGTCGTGCAACTGGACAACGATCATATAAATTGTTTAAGAGACTGTAAAGGCGCGCAGCAATCTACAAGTTTGATCGAAGATGCATCATTTTGCTAACAGCGATAATTTAAATTTTTTTTTTTTATCATTAATTTAGAATTTTTTATTTTTATTTATTTAAATTATGCGATTCCACCCTGTTAAATTTAAATTAGCCGGATCCAAGTATTGCTCGGAATATTTTTGGATAGGAAGGAGGAAAAACATTAACTATATTTCGCAAGAACACCTAGCTAGCAACATCGTAGGGAAAATGAACTTTAATTAGATGATGAAAAAACATTAGTAGATGCACTTTACAATAATACGCTGCTAATTCTTTGGATCTTAGAAGAAAGAACATGAGCCAGAAGTTGAAAAGGATTTGAATCGTGGGAATAATAATCTTGGATCGGAAACGTGGATGGTTTTGCAAGAACACCATGCTGAAGGATCAATATAGTAAACTTGAATTAGTAAGAGGAAAAGCAATGGTAGATGCACTTTTCAAGGATAATGAAATCTTCGGAGTAATAATCCTGGACCAGAATGAGCAAAAGCATTAAAATATGCATTTTACAAGAACAGTGCTATGAAAGGTTGAATCTTCGATGTATACTAGAAGAAGGAAGGACATTAGCATGTGTGCTCTGTAAGGACAATGCTTAAATATTAGAGCAGATGTACCTTGCGTGAGCAATGTTTTGAAAGATTTTATTCTTCGAATTAATGGGTTATATTTTCATAAAAATTTATTTCACAAACACCTTGTTTTACGGACAATCAGCTCATAGTTTATTTTAAGACTATTAATTTATCGACAGATTATTTCATAAACAAATATTTATAGACATTTCATTTTGCAGACAATCTTTAACGCTGATTCAAAAGTTATTTGCTATTAAAGATTGTCTATAAAATGACTGTCTATAAAATGAACTGTTTATAAAATGAGCTGTCTGTAAATTAATTGTCTTTAAATAAACTTGTTTGTGAAATAAAACTTCTGTAAGTGATACGTAACTAATCTTTGTTGAATCTTATCGATTCCGCGACGCTCCTTTTGTAGACATAATAAGACTTCACTGACATCGCTTCACCGACAGGTTTATTTTACAGACATTAAATCATCGACAATCAATTTACCGACATGTTCATTTTATCGACACGTTTATTTCACCAACACTTAATTCACTGACAATTAATTCATCGACAAGCTTAATTCGAGAAGTTTGAAGAATAATGAGCCCAATTATACGATTAAACACTCAGCATAAGTTAGGGTTAGTGTTAGAGTTAGAGTATAATTAGGCCGATTTTGCAGTGAAAGAAGCTTGTCGGCAAATTAATTGTCAGTGAATTAAGTGTCAGTGTCGGTAAAATGAAAGTGATACGTGTTAGATACCCAACTAAATTGACCAATCATCTTTCGCTTTGGTCACATGATAGCTTTTTACAAATTTTTCGAATCCGATAACCTTTCAAATCTGATGCAAAACCTGTCCACCATTTGACAGGGTGTACTGTATATTTTTCTATTGCTATATTTCTCCAATAAAGTAATTACTATTTTGTTATTATTAAAAACGGGTACTATTAGATGCCTAAAACTAAAAATCTATCATGATAATTAACTAAAAATAGAAACAAAAGTATTGTCTAGCAGCTGATTAGAATAGGCATAGACACATGCAAAAAAAAAAAAAAAAGAATGTAAAATTCTATAACATTTATAATGCTAGAAACTCTTCTTTTTTATTATAATACTCTTTAAACCTTAAAGTCGCATATTCTATATA